ATAAAAAAAAAAAAAAAAAAAAAAAAAAAAAAACCTCACCTATAGCTTTTGAGCTTTACATTCGCCATTTAAACTTTAAAAATACTCATTTTACCCAATGAATATTGAATTAGACACGTGAGCCCGTTTGGTTCATGAATTAGAATTATGAGATTAGAATCATTTTTAATTTACGTGTATTTTTTGTGAGAGAAAATACTGTAGCGAATCATGAACTATGATTCGAATCAGAGAACAAATCCTCCAACCAAACGGGGGAATCATACGACTTTTGATTGAAATATTACGGAAAAAAAGAAGACATGATCTCACTTAACTTGTTATGTTAGAATTTATGTTGAAAATAAATAGAATAAGACCACATAATCATACTAAAACTCTTTTTTTTTACCTGTTTTTAACATAAATTCTAATAAGAATTAAGTGAGACAAAATAAGAATGATCTTAAAATTGTGGAGTTCACGTAAAAATAATCAAATTTTATTATTTTAAATTTATCGTCATGCCTCAATTCCTTTTTTTTTTAATAAAAAAAAAGGGCGAAATAAGTGACGTAAATGGTGGTGTATTTCCCTTCAACAACGATTTTTATTTTGCCCCAACATACATACGAGAGAGTGAGTTGAGAAAAGAGATGGAACAAACGGGAACGGTGGTCGTTGAGAAAGTGGGAGACAAGTCAACAGTCACAAGGTGCTACTCAAAGTATCCTCTTAAATTCATCGTACCAAAAAAGGTTTCCTTTTATCCATTTTCACATATGATTTTTTTTTTTTTTTTAGTTTCTTTCTGTGGGATCTATGTATTGTATTGTATTTCGTATATAGTGCATTATTGGAACTTGAAATTTCGATGGCAACAATCTCAGAATTAACTTTGTTGGATTTTCTTTAGTTGGGCAACTCCAAAACTGATGCTGTTTGGATTTACACCCTCACATATGGTGGTGGCATTGTCTCTGTATGTTCTTTTTTTTTTTTTTTGTTGGTTGCTTGAAGATTAATCTCTCTCTCCTCTGTACTCTTTACTTGATTGAAAAGCTTATTTTTAGCTCCTTTATGATTGAATAGCAGTGATTTTGGGTGCAGGGAGATTCTATTTCATGTGATTTCACAATTGGTGACGGCTGCACTACTGTCTTGACTACCCAAGCTTCCACAAAGGTTAAACTTTCATAGCCTTTATTTGGCAACCTTATTCTCTTTGTTTTTTTTTTTTAACATATTTATGTTGCATATTGTGACATTCTTGAATAAGATTCCACTTCAAATTTTCAATGGAGTAGGTTTTTTTTTTTTTTTTTTTTTTTAATCCTAATGTTCGAAAATCTCAAATGGGTTCTATTCTATGACCTTCTTGTGCAGGTCTACAAGTCTCTGGGATCAAAGTGCTCAGTGCAAGTCTTGGAGGTAACACAACAACTTTCCCATACCACACAAATTACAATTTATGTCATTTCTTTGCAGAATTCAATTCATTAATGTGCAGCTGACCTTGAAGTTCTTAATAGTGTTTAGTTTTTTAAGCGTTCCTTAATTTTTCTCCAATGGAGAATATGAATTACTGCGGTATGTATAGTAAACAATAAAGTTTGCTTGCTTTTAGAATCTTGAAATTTTTGGCAGTCAGAATCACAGGGTGGTTTGGATTGTATTAACACAAATCAAATAAGTTGTTCATTTTGAATTAAAGTGACATTGGCTAATTCATGCCATGCAGTAGGCGAGAGTGGGGAACAATGCCCTTTTGGCTGTAATCCCAGATCCAGTTACATGTTTTTCCACGGCTAGGTACACTCAGAAACAAGTCTTTAGGATGTTGAGTGACGCGAGTTTGATCGTTGTTGATTGGGTCACTAGTGGGCGCCATGAAAGTGGTGAAAAATGGGATTTTGATCTGTATAAGAGTACCAATCACATATTCCTAGAAGACAATGAACCTCTGCTTCTTGATACGGTACATGTTTTCTTTCGATCAGAATTTCAGCATCTTGCCTGATGATAATATTGCTAATTCTTAGTTTCGTATTGAAAAAAGTTGCTAATTCTTACTGAGAATATAAAAGATAAGCTTATTTCATAATGTGGTGGCATCTGAGAATTTCTTGACAGTTTGTTTGGTTGGTTATTTAATAGCAATTTGACAGAATCATGTTCTATCGAGTTGTATATTGCTAGTCATTACGCATGTTGTTGCATTATGTCATTTTTATTCTCCCCCTTTTTCATGACCGTACTCTGTAACAATCTGGTTTCTTTTTGGGTACTTGCTAAACTGTAACTTAGTTTTGATCAAAATACTTCATATTCGAGATACCATTAAACCAGACTCATGCCATGTCATACATATTGAAGTTTCTGTTAAATAACTATTGGATCTTCTCGTGCCCCTTTCTTCCCTTCATTTTTTGGACCTCAGTGTTACATGCATTTTTTCGGCACAAGACACTGCCAGCCTGGCACTAACAAAGTTCTTGTTGCCCTCTTTTCGTTGTTGTATTTCCGCAATTGCTCTCAAATGCAAGACACTGTTACTATTTCCTTCTTTTTAACACTCTCACATGGTTCTTTGATTGTTTGTGAATCACAATTAAATTGTTCGGAATGTGAATAAATTCATGAATCATAAAATCCCAGTGGCTCTTTTACCCTGCAGGTACTTCTAGAAAAAGGAAGCATGCCTTCTATTGTAGAGCGCATGCAGGAGTACCAAGTGGTTGCCATGGTTATATTTTGGGGGTGAGTTTTACTGATTTACTTTTTCTCTGGTACCTTATTCGATAATTTTACCAAATGAATTTACTTGTCAAGTTTATGAGACTAAGATGAAAGGAGTTTAAATAATTGAATTGATGTTTTTTTTTTTTTTTTTTTTTTTTGGTTGCTATGTCATAGGCCAAAGATGAAACACATTCAAAACCAAGTCCAAGAAGAAGTGAGGAGGATGATGACTGAGCAGTTACAATTTTATTCTCCTGCATCAGCTCAACGAATGAAAAGAAGTTCCACTTGTTGCACGAACAAACCGAACTTTATTGTTTCTTCAAGTGTCTTTGGTCCTCAGGTATTTGTGATATAATGCCCTCGTAATGCTTAGGCCATAAGTGGTTGCTGTCCCTGAAATTTTCTTGCTGTATTCAATAGTCTATTTAACCTGGAATAAGAATTGAAAAACATATTAAAACCTGGAATAGCAAGTTGAGGCAGTACATTTGGTACTTCTTTGAGCCCATCCTAGGGAAAAATTGTCGAGATTTTATACAACAATCTACCAGATTGGTTTCCATCTCTTTTCCATTTTAGGACCCTGGAAGGTGACAAAGAGGACCAGGTGCGTTGAGTGAATGAGAACCCTAAACCTTCTTAGATGTAACTGAATTAGCCTGAGAACAGAGAGACCTTCTTAGATGTAACTGAATTAGCCTTAGAACGGAGAGAGAGAGAGAGAGAGAGAGAGAGAAGTGGTGATTCAATAGAAAGTGTTTTCTCGGCTAGCCTTGAAGGTGCAGAACTATCCTAGGCCTACAATGCCTCAAAGATGGGAATTGACAGGGCTGCAAGGGAGGAGAGAAACAAGTAAATGAAGGAACTTAACCAAAGAGGGTTTTCAAGGTCATGTGTTAGTTAGAGTGAGCAGGGTTTGTTATGCAGAGCGACGTTCGCCTTGCATTCAAAGTACCGTTTTGCTTGTGGGATATTGTCCCCCCAAAACATGAACCACACTTAACGGACAACACTATCGAGTTTCTGCTCTCAACCTTCCAAGTTTACTCATTTGAGTGTTCCTTACTCTTGATTTTCAACTAAAACCAATTTTAATTGTACTTTAGCTCCACTTATATTGTTCTTTTGCATTCCATTTGTGTGCTGAATTTGATTATAAATATCAACTATTTGAGCAAGTCTATCATCCATTCGACTGAAAGCAGTTTTAAGATTAAACTTCAACAACCAATTGGTTTTACTTGCAAGCTTTTTAAAGGGCCCTTCCTAATCATTTTTCATCATCGAGCAAAAGACTGTCAGGGTGGCTAAGAATTCCACAGGCAATCTAAAAACAAAAATGCTGGGAAAAATCTACATTGTTCCTAGTGAAAATCTGCATGTAATGGTGCATAGAGGTTGACGGGAGGCGGCTGTTGGGGTATTCTGTGTTTTCTTTTATTTTTTTGGTGAAAAAATAGGATTGACCAAAGGAAGCAACTTCACTCTGATACTAATTGCGGAACAAAAAGATTAGATGTTTCCTTTTAATTTGTATAGTTATCTATGAGGATATTTTGTCTTTAGTCTTTAATAATTTCAACGCAAATAGTTTTGATGATTCATAAATGATTAATATTGAGTTTTCTTCCTTCTAAAATCCCTTCTTGCCATTCTATTCTATCCCTACTGGTTCAATTTCCTTCTTGATTCTGCTCTCTTTATAGATTTTCTCTTTTATCTCGGTCCTACATCAAGAAGACGGATACTTTTCATCCAATTTTTTGGGAGGATGTCATCATATTGACTTCTTTTTTTATCCTTTCATTTTATTTGAGCTAAGTTATTTCTTATTAATGCAGGGAAAAGGAGTCGTCGTTCGAATAGTTGCCACAACAACTGAATCAGTTTACACGTTCCTACAACATCAATTGGCTGGCTTGGAACCACTACTTGGACTATCACCATATCATTGAATTTTCAGAGAATGTATTATAATGCATATTTTACTTTTTCTTGTTATTGGTCTATTTTTACATAGATCTCAAGTTCTCTAGGTTCTCATTTATAGAATAACCTGTATACGAAATAAGGTAACAATGGGTACGTTTGAAATTGATTTTGTTTTTAATAAAAAAATAAAAATGAGATTATTTTGAGAATTATTCTAGAAATTGATTTTAAAATTTCGTTTGATTAGTTTTTTTAAGAGATTATTTTGAGTATAATAAAAAAGTGAAATCGTATTTATTGATTAATATATTATAATATTGTTGATAAGTATTAAAAAATAAAAACAGAAAGTGAAAATAACTTTCAACTGTTTTTTAATTTTTTCAAAAAATCATTCTCACTATTTTTATTTTCAAAACATTTACTAAACAAACGTTTTGTTTTCATTTTCATTTTTTTATTTTTTAAAATACATAAAAACTGTTTTTAAAAACGATTCCAAACAATATTTTTTTTCCAGGAAAAAAAGAGGTAATAATATTATGCTCAGTCACCTTTTTGCCAAAAAAAAAAAAAAAGAAAAAAAAGAGGAAGGAAAGGCTTCGTCTCTCTGCTTATCTTTGCTTATAATCTCCGAAGATCAGAAACATACTTTGACTATTAAGAACGTGATGTGATGTGAACTTGGAGTACAATTGAAATGATATCGTTTATCAATCGTGACTAATTTCCCTTCAAAAGAAGTCTTAATTTTACTTCTCATAAAAAAAAAAATGCTGTGACCAGTTAGTTTACTTCATATGATAAAATACACGTTTGTTCGGCAAAGCCACCAAGTTAACGGCATGGTGCATCTAGGTTCGCTTTGCTAGAATTGCTTCAAAAATCACATCATTAATGATGAGCTGAGAATTTTTCTAAAAATATTTCCTCTGCACAGCAGAACGCTGTTTATTTTAAGGGTTTTGATTTAGTGAGATACATAAGATGGCATTTTCTCTTCGGGTTACATTGATGCTTAGAAAGGGTCCAACCTCCTGAAAAGTCGAATATCGCGACAGACATCACGGTTCAAACATCGCAAATCATTATTGAAAAATTGAGGAGTTGTTCTTTTGCAACAAAACTCAGAAAAAGTTTAAACTCAAGTTACAACTTTATTCAAGTTCACGTTCTTTTAAGTTACAACTTTATTCAACTTTACTCAATTTTATTCAAGTTACAACTTCAACTCAAGTTATAACTCAAATTCAACTCAAAAACTTTAACCATGCCTAAAATACTCAAAGAAATACTATTCATAATACATAAGCAGTTCACACTAATCTTGCCCGAAAATGAACATCACACAGATGAAACTTAACTCACTTCGGCACGTTATAAAATGGTGACATAAAAGTAGAACGATAGATTAACTGCAATTTAGAATGTAATTTCACAAGGGGCATGAAGGGTTCTACCGCGGCATATAGGTTCTAAGTTCTCTCCAGCATACGAACATAGTGGTGATACCTCCACACCTGGTTAGATAAATTGCTTTGAGAACTGAGAAGAGTTATGGACACAGAAATGAACATGGTATAATCTGTAAGGGGCAGTAATCTTTCACATAACTTCCTGTTTCCATCTATGCATTTACTTTATTGATTTCTACCAAGACTACACATTTATACCTTCCCCTGAATGGAAAATAAAATAAGAACGAATTACCTGTTGCATATAACGGCACTGAATGTGTTAAAAATCCACCAGCAGCAACTACCCAGCGAGCATGGAGTCGGAGAACCAGAAGTTTAGCACTGTCTGGAGTGTCGAAAGTTGATCCATTGGCATTTTTTACTGGTGCAAACTCTTCTTCACGTAAAACCTGTTTTAGAATGAGTTTCAAAGAAAAAGGTTGTGCCATCCCCATTTGTCGAAAAGGAAACAACAACAACACTAACCATAATCCCAACTTAATTAGGGTCGGCTATATGGATTTCACTTTTCCACGCAGCTCTGTTCGAAATTAGCCTTTCCTGAAGGCCTAGATCTAGAATGTCATTCCTAACTACTTCGGTGCCGGAGCCTAGAGATAAAAAGCAAAAGAAATTCACCTCAAAAAGTGCAGTAGAAGGCGCATAAGGAAATGCATCAAATATGAACTGCTCCAGTTTGTATCCAATTGTATGTCCTTGAACCGAAGGAATTGTCTTCTCAGCAAGATGGTAGCTGCATTGGCAAAGCAAAACAATATTCTCATAATGGCAAAAAACAGAGATTAAGAACTCCAATACCAAAGCCAACTGAAATGATGCATTAAACTGTAAGCATGATTCAACTTCCTCATGCATGCTTGTAGTGTAAACATAACTAATGTTGTAACATGTGTACGCAATATGACCTGCGTTCTTTATCTAGGGCTACACAGTCAAAATGGAGTTCCCCCCCTTTTTTTTCCAAAAAAATAAAACGACCCATACAAATTATCAGTCATACTGAGCACGTGAGACCTTGACATCTCACACGGATTTCAGCACAAGCATAGCAGATGAAGAAATACTTAGGGGTCAATGATGTACAATATATTTAATATTATTACTAGAAAACACAAAGACATCATCGATTGTACTCATTATTGTCATTCATACCTAGCATATGAGACTTCTGACACTTCACATGCAATTTTAGTATACAGATTCACGGATGAAGAAATACTTGGGACAGACAAATGCATCATGTAGCAGGAATATGCTGATAGAAGTACACTATATGCAAAAGAAGCAAGGAGAAAGGGATGGGGAAAGAATGGGATAAAGGAAAATCTATTACTGACATGCTGTCTTTTTCAAGGCCATTTGCCACTTGGTTTAGGAAATCAACAGTAAACATGTGTAGGCATACCTGAAGGCAAAACTCACAGAAGTTCAGACCAAAAAAATGTTACCAGGAATTTCACACGACTAAACAAAAGAAATCAAACAATGTAAAATATGCAATAGACATTACATTGCTCCAACAAAAACGAAGGCGCCCAGTTTGTTGATTGATTGCAGAAGCCAAAGATGGATCCAACTCACTGTATTCTACCACAGTTAGAGGTCCACCCTTGCCTCGGCGCACAAAAACACCAACCTTCTCTTGAGGGTATGCCTGTAATGAGAAAAGCACGAGAAACTAAGATACCCTATCCTTCAGATTTTATTACGTGCACTAAGACCTATATAGCATAGAATTGTCATTGTTCCCGTAATTATGTCTTACGAGTTATGACCACCTAAAACATCAAAGTCCATTCAATTTGAAAAGCAGATACAACGTGCTCCACAAACAATCATGAAAAGCATATGCAAAAGTGCTCTACGATATTTTGCAGTACCTACAACTATACACCATACAACATACTAGAATCCAGGATCCAAAAAAGATTTAAAAAAAAAAAAGAAAAAGAAAAATATTAGAATCCTTAAAACAGTGGTCAAGAATACTCCTACATGCTTCAGCAAAGTGAGATAACACGACTTGAATCAAAAACTTGACAATTGAATTTATCAAAAGTAAAAGAAAAGATACGCTTGAACAAGACTCTCTGTCTCTGATTATATATTCTTACAGTTATTCCCATTTATTGACAATTTTCTAAAGAATTTTACTAACAAGAGTCGAAGGTTATCATGCTAAAGGGAAAAAGAATTGTACAGCAGTTTCTTTTTTCAAAAGATCTCATCCATTGACATTAAAAAAAAAAAAAAACAAAAAAAAAAACAAAACAAAAAACAAAACAAAAGCAAAAAAACAAAAACAAAAAAAGAAAAAGAAAAAGAAGAAGGCACTCTTACTTCATCCTGGCTTAGCAACGACATAAATTTGCCAAAGTTTTATCTTGCTTATCATATAATGAAGGAAATTGTAACCAAGATTTTGAATTACAAGTACGACTAAAACCTTTAATGTCATACATCTTTAAACATTAAGCAGCAGATTTATACCTTACGAACGACCTTTGCAGCAGCAGAGACGCCTTTATAGATGAAATAACCCAAGAAAGTCGGATCAGCCACACGAACCTGCTTTCAAGATCCTAATCACTATGCCTTTAAATACAATGAGTTTCAAGTCTTAAACGAATAAAAATTTGATACGACACTCACCCCTGGTGTTCAATTGCAAAAACAAACAAAATAAAGGCGGCAGAATAAAACTTTTTTTTTTGGCTACATACAAATAACATGCAACAAAAGTAGGATACGGTTTGAACAGCTTTCTTCCTTGGATACAACTATTCCTAAATTAAAAATTTCAGTGTGTCAAGAGGAAAAGTGATGAAAAATATAGAATTTAACTTCCCTTCTGCTTCTCTCCTTTGCCAACAAAATGATTAAAACAGAAAGTTCTTTTACTTTCTCCTTTATTTGCTTGGGATAAACCAAACACGCCAACAGGAAACGAACAAAACTCACCAGTGCATTATCGACACCATAGCAATCCACATATTTAATTCCTCTCATGGACATGTCTTCTAAAAGTTTTGATGACTTCAGAGCTGATCAACAAATTAGGTCAATTGCTATTAGCAAGGACCAAGCAATGACAAAAGTTATTAAACTAAATCCAGCAATAGTATACAGTATGCAATACTGGACCAAAGTTTAATAACATAAACCTGCATAAACTCCTCCATTCCCATCTGGAGACTTAGCTACCTGGATTTAAGAAATTTAAGTCATAAATTGGTGACATTTGTGTATGCATATGAAGGCAAACAATTGTGTTGAACGGGGAAAATGGTATTCTAGATAACAAATTTTCAGAATAGGAACTACAGCGTCTTTTATGAAGAATGACATTGTAGCAACTCTTGCTAACTACTAGGCTCTATTTTGCCCTAGTCAAAACATTTTATTATCTAAAAATACTAGTAAAAACACAACATTTACTACAGATTCAAAAACAATCCTACTGCAACTTTGCCTCAACAATTATCATTTGATCTTTCAATATTGCTATATCCTTTTTTTTCCAGCTGATAGTGTCGAAGATTCTTACAGCACTCAAACATATCCACACATATGTAGCCCTAGTCCGACGTCGATCTATTAATTGAACTACTTACAGGGTTGGCAACCAAAAGGTACATGATAGATTCTAACTGGAATCAACACTTGTTCAAAATCCCAAAACAAAGCGCCCAAAATCACCCAATTTTGGTTCTAACATTACTTTAAAGAATGAGTCTCATAGCTCTGAAACAAATGGAAGCCCCTAAAATCCTTTATCAATATCTAATTTGCATCATCATACTCCTTAGCTAGCTCACAACAGTTGCTCAATCCTGAAAAATATGTCAATCATATTCCAGAAATGCCATATATTCACGTTTAGTTTTTTTCTAATGACAAGAAAAATGAAAGGAGATGGCTGCCACATACTTTAGAGTTCAAATAGGTAATTATGTTGTACAATCAGCAGAACACCTGTTTAATATACAAGTAACCAATCCTTCACACTGTACAATTTATTAGAGGGGGTAAAATTACTGAATACTTTTGATAAGTTCTTAAAGTGCTGATGCATATCACATAGACCATAGTTTTAACAGTAGTAGATGGTGATCATGTACTTCCCATGCTCACAAACAACTCCAAGGCGGGAACAAAATTTTACAAAACAAAAGACAAGTCATTTCAACATACTCTGTATGGAGTTTCCATTATAAATTTCCCATCATTTGAAACACAAGGTATGGTGCCTTGCTGAAAGAAGGTTACCTGAATCAGATGATTGTAAGAAATCATATGCCCTCCACAAATAAGAACAAATACATTAAAAAATTAGAAAGAAAAGGAAACACTTCTCACTTGATCAGCATCAAGACCAAAAAACTTGTGACTTTCAAAAAATCTGCGTGTAGCCTCATCAGTGAATGGGCTTGTCATAATATACCAATGTATTTGCACTGAACGAGTAGAACCTGTTGGCACCTATGTCATTAGGATATAACACATGAACCAAAAAACGAAAATGGTACAAAAACCTTTAAATTCATGCTTGACGGGTGGTAACTCTGTGGGAATATACCAAAGATTTCAGATCAAATTTGCCTCAAGTACTTGGCAGGTAGCAAACAGGGAGGTTACAAGCATGGAAAGATTACTCGTTCTGTTCTCCAGGCTTTAAACAAAAAGAGTTGGAGAAGAAAAGATGAATATTGAAGATATGAACCATACCATCATTCATGGCTTCAGCGGCTAATCTCTGGACACACAATATCCGCTCAGCTTGAAGTTGAAATAACGACTTCCCAGATGGAAGCCCAATATCTGAACCCGTTTAGAGGACATCATAACATATCACATATGTAAGATAGAGCTTCTCATAGAAAATAAAAAATAAAAAAAGATCATAGTTTAGACATTCTTATGAAGATATCACTTGAAGAAAAAAATAGAAAATGGAGAGCTTTAATTTATCTTTATTATTAAAAATGTTAAAAACAAAATTGAACTATTTAAATTAAAAAAAAAAATCATATGTTTGTTTTAAATTTCTTTCTTTTCATTCCATCTCAAAGTCACAGATGTGTACCTAAATTAAATCCTCGCCCCACCAAAAGGCAAAGAAACAAAACTGAGAATCCTTTAAAAACCTTACATGCTAAAGCTAAAGTCTAAACACAAGTATTTGGGCTAAGGCTTCAAATTGAATCATGATTCAGTTAATAGAAACTTAGTTAATTATCATTTGCAGGAAATTAACTGGTACAGTGGACGAAAAGACACTTTTAAGAGATTTAGGAAAAACAAGAAATGAATTAATCCGCTTTAAAATCTCCATGAGTCACAGAAAAGATTTAAAATTGAGTCCCGGCTTCACATTAGCAGTTCTACATCTAATTGATGTCCCTCATTCAACAGTGCCTCTAAAATAAGCCATAAGTGATATCAGAACAAGAAACTTAAACTGGGGAAACTGTCTCAAAATAAGGTAAACTTGATCATTACTCACTGAAGCATCCCTTTGGATCTGAACTTCCAAGCCGAGTTCCCTGCATTACAATTTGATGAAAGACAAGAATGCATACGTCAGCCACGGTCATGAATAAAAAAAGGCGCAACAATTTTTATTTATTTAACATGACGAAAAGAAAAAAGTGCACAAACAGATGATGCCCATGTAATCAAGTTAACAATTTAGACGGCACAACATATTCAAATAAACAGGAGACTGAGGAAATCTCCTGTTATTGCAATGATTACTGCATGCATTAACATACAAATTATTCATTGCCCAAAATCCTCCGGAACACAAACCTTATATTATGGCAACCCAATCAGAGTGTGTGAAGACTTCAAATGGTTCTAAAGCAACAAAAAAAACTTCAGCAAGTGGTAAACTTTCAACATCTAGTTAGAATTATGGAGGTTTGATTTGTTTCCTTAAACTCTTATGCAAGCTGACTCTTTCAATGTGTGGCGACACATGGCAACAACTGACACAACTAAAACGTTAAAAACTAGAAACGGGTAAAAAGATTAAAAAAAAAATAATTAACAACTAGACATCGACATCATCACGCAGCTATTTATTCAGAAGGTTATAATGTATTTTACCATCACGTTTAAGTCATCAAATACACTGTAAATATCATCTAATGCATCAATAATATTGCCTAATGCACTGAAAATAGTGAAACAATTGGCTTGAATTAGTGAAAAATACTATTTCCTATGTGGTTTTTAGGTTGAACAAATTTAATCTTCTGACTTCAACGTTTCTTTTTTCCTGTGATAGGAACTGTAACTTCAACTCATACACAGAAATTGATTCATAGCTCTTCACACCTGAGTTGATAACTCCCAACAAAAGGAGTATGCCTGAACTGGTTCAGATTTTATTTCACATCTAACTATGCTCAAGCGGATAATTTTTATTGATAAGACAATAACGCAAGTTCTAGATATTGCAGAACATCATCCATACCGTAGAATATTTTGCCTAGTAAAGTTAGACTCCAACTGGAAAAGAGAAAAAAAAAAGTTATGGAATCCTATAAAGCACCTTTATTAACTAATGCATCCATTAAGTAAAAGATATTCCATGCGTTTATATCACTAAATGCTACAAACAAACAGCCAAATCAACAGGCAGAAAAGAACATCACACCGTCCAAGAAGAAGATAAAGAGATAAAGGTTATTAATATAAAAAGTAAAACCACCACCAAAAAAGCGACATCATACCAAATTCACAGTCATGGAGAACAAAGTCCTCGTTTGCGTTAATGAACCTAAAATTTCTATTATAAAATTGTCCTTTCATAAAAGGAAGTCCTCAATCATACTTTTTCCCAACAACCCATATCATACGAAAATCATGAGAGAGAGAGGTTTCATGTGAAACAACCCACCATCTCCTAATCAACAGTATTAATTTAATATCATATTTATTGCAATCTAAGGTCACACAAATAAAGTGAAAAGGCACTAATGCTAAGCAATGCAACTGAAAAGCATAAACATAATTAGATAAAGTAAAACGACGATTAGATAAAGTATAAATGTAATTATTACATTAGGAAAAAAAAATAAAAACAAAATTAAGGATAGACCACAATACCTGGCCACCAGATAAAAGCAAGACAGCCAACTTCCCATCTGAGATGGCTTTCAAGCCCAACTTCCACCATCTCTCTCTCTCTTCGAGCGTCCGCTCCTCCACCGTCGATACGTTACTCTCCGGCACCGGCTCAATCGCCGCCGCTGGAAGACCTTCAATCCAAAAAAAAAAAAAAAAACACTTCGGGTCAAATCCATCGGAATTGTTCTCCATAACTATGTGCGCAAGAAAACAGAGCAATACTAACCATGAGACCGAATTGAACACCGAATAATCCGGTCTATTCTGGAAAGATCTAAACTCTGAGAAAAAGTCACCCGATCAATAACATGAAGCACAATTTGCATGAGAAAATGGGAGGCATTAAAGATCAAAAGCAACCGAGAATAACTCAAGCGAATGGAATCATGCCAAATCATCATTAGTAAACCTTCATTTCCGTTTACAAGAAGAGATATTATATATTACAAGGGAAAAAAAAGTCTTTATATGATTCCTTTTTCCGGAAGTTTACTCTCGAGAAAGAAACGGCATGAGCGACAACCAGCTGAGAAAGAGAAGAAGAATATATCCAGGTAATTGAAATAACCTCGATGTCCTTGACGAGAAGGAGGCGTTCTTCGGGAGAGAGCTCGTTCCAGAGGGCAAATGCGTCTTCCTGGCCGTAGTCTTTGAGTCGCTCAAGCAGAGCCTGAGGCGGCGGTTGTGGCGGCGACGAACCGTCCATTATTAGGTCGCTCATCTTTCTCTCTCTAGAACTCTCAAAGCTTTCTCTGTCTACAATCTCCGGATCTCATTCTCTCTCAGTCGCAGGAACTTTTCCTGGTTTTCTTCTATGAGCTTAGAGAGAGAGAGAGAGAGACACCGCGCCTAGGGGTCACAATTCCTGTAACGTGTTGCGTTCGTTTTAAAAGTATTTCACACGTTAAGTTTTAATTACCGTATTATTAAGCTATAAAATTTAAATATTTAATTTTAAAAAAAAAGAAATAAAAAATAAGTTTTAGACAAAAAAAGAGTTAAAAAATTAGAATAAAGCAATAAAAAAGTTTTAAAATAAAAAAATAAAATATTAGGGTAAAAATTTAAAAAATAGTCAAAATGATTAACATAAAGAAATATAGGACAAATGAACCAAAACGAAAAAGAATTGAGAGAAAAACAAAAGAAAATAAATTTTTAGAGGGAAAATAAGAAAAGTAAAAAAGACTATATAAATAAATAAGTTTTAAAATAATACCGGAAAATATATATATAAGTAAGAAAATATAAAATTTTAGGGAAAAAATTTATTATTATTCATTCATTTTAACCAAAACATCGCCATTTTAGTCAGAACCGCGTGCCATAGTGAACGGGGAAAGAAGCAAAAGAAGAAAGAGGAGATAAAAAGGAGGGAAAAACCGTGAAGAGCTAACAAAAACGGATGGAACTAAAAGGTAAAAAGAAAAAAAAAGGACAAAAAACAAGAAAAAAAAAAGTAGGAAAAAGAAAAAGGACCAAAAGATAAAAAAGAAAGGCAAAATAAGGACTAAAAATAAAAAAGAAAAAACGAAGGTAAAAAGATCGGGGACTAAAACGGTTGTGTTTTTGGTTGAAAATCAGTCGTTTTGGTTGAAAAAGGAGACAGCGCAAGTGCTTTCTTATATGTAGATTAAGGCTTAGTTTGGTATTGCTGAGGATTTTAAAAAAATTGTTTTTAGCTGTGCTGAAAGAAGAAGCAGCTGTTACAAGAAGCAGCGGAGTGTTTGATAAATTGTAATTATAGTAGCTGTGCTGGTTTTAAAATCAGTGTAATAGCGTTTGGTAAATTTTGATGTTAAATTGCTGTGGGTATGTAAAATGACTAAAATAGACTTGGTATGGAACTTAAATATATTAATTGTTTTTGAAATATATTAATTGTTTTTGAAATATATTAATTGTTTTTTGTATTTAGAAATATTTATTTAACTTAAAAAAAATATAATGCTATAATTTTGAGTTTTTTAATAATAAATTTATGATAATTAATTCTTTTTTTTTTATTTCTTCATTCACAATATAGTTACAACTAAAAGGAGCATTAGTAAGGAATCAATTTGTTGAACAAAAAAGTACATTTCATATTCAAAAAACTGACAGAGTCATTAAAAGAATTAAGTCGTGTTCATTAAACTTGTCACAATTTGATCTCGTACTTCAACCATTTCTTGTGATAGTGAAGCTTCTCTTCTTCTACATTGTCCTCTAGTTGATGCTCTTCATATTTAAGGGTAAAAAAATGTCATTATTCTCAATCCCACCACCTTTTTTATCCTTTGAATATGACAGACTTCCAGCATATTCAAGGGTCTCAATGGTGAAGAGTCGCACTATTCTACTACTACAAGCACAAACAATTAGCTTCTTGCTTGCTTTCTTCTATGCATATAATACATCAAGGTTTGAAACATTATAATACTAAAGACCATGAGTATGTTTAAGGACCCAAACATGGCATTGGATTGTACTGCAAAGTCAAAGAAAAACCA